AAAAATAATATTTTGCAATAATAGAAAACAACCCCGATACCCATAATTATCAGCCCTCATCATTCGCCGCATAACACAAATACGGTATTAAAGATTTCAGTTATTTTGCACTTTTAATTATTCAAATACAAATTCAAATTTGTATAATCTGTGAAAGGATTTACAGTTAGGTATAAGTAATACATCAATTCAGAGGAAAAAAGTTTGAATCCTTATAGTAAGACATTTGGAAATGAATATTTTTATCTATTGTTAAACATTAAGCTCTTTTGTGACATTAATATTTATCAAATCATAATTTTTATTGTAAACTTTATGATTATTATTTGCAATATTTATTGAAAATACTTTACATTAACATAGTTTAATTCTTATCTTTACATTCATGTATTTTATGGAAATTTTATTAGATATTGGTTTAATAAAACAATTCATTTACATTTCATTTCAAATATTTTAATTATAGATCAAAGTCATTCGTGTTATAGATTTTTAATACAATATTTTAAGCCATCATAATTGTAGCCAATATTTTAAACTTACTATTTATTAATTTTATTAAATATTTATTTTTATTATAACTAAAATGATGTATGAATTGGACGAAGAGAATGAAAAAGCGATCATTAAATTAAACAATGAATTAACAAAATTGATGAAAAGGCCGACATATGGTCCGCGAAGGAGAGCCGGAATCGCTATGAATTTACTTCAAAATCTACGCAAAAAAGCGGTTACTTTGGATCTGCTTATCAAGACTAAGGTCGGCATTACTGTCAATAAAGTCCGACGCTTTAAGTTTTCCCGCGAGACCACTCTCTTCGCCACTAAAATAATAAATGAATGGCAATTACTTCTTCCTATTGGACGCACTTCTAAGGATCAGTTGAAGTCATCCTCTGTTAAGAAGAAGGTTACGATTCGGGAACCAAATGATGGCAACAATAATAAAGAAATGTCGGCTGAAAACAGGGGATCGGATAAAGAAAATAAAACTCCAACCAATCAGACGTCGAAGAATAAGGTGTCGGAGCCGAGAAAGTCGTCGCTTAAAAAGCCGAGCGTCGAGAAGAGCGGATCACTCGAGGATCGCATGAGACAACTTCGGGGCAAAAAACCTGTTCCTTATAAAAACTCGACTCCCATTCCGGCGACGGCTAAACCCAAAAACGGAAAACTCGTACCGATTGGACAATTGCCGGAATTCAGCGCCAATCGGATCAGACAAAGACGACTGGAAACTGATTACTCTATGTCACAACCGTCGACGTCTCGGATGTCGGCGTCGATTGTGCCTCCATTGGTCACATCGAAGAAGCGGTCGGACGGACACAGTCTTTACAACAATATAATCGCCGCCAGAAAACGCAAAAACGATGAAAAGCGAGAGTTGACGGCAAAAAGGCTGAAGAGTGAGCCGAAGAGCGGTTGGTTTTGGGCGAAAGTACGCCCGAATCGGAGCCTTTCAGACACGCCTAAAGTGGAGAACTGGCCGGTGCCTCGCTCTCGCCCGTTCATTACACCCGTCGATCGGCTGAAGATTGTTCAGTCCAGAGGCGCTGAGACACCGGAACCGTCGCCGGACGACATCGCTGTGGCGGCGCTCAAAGATCCCCACGATTTGGAGCCCAATATATCGAGAACCCGATCGTCCAAAGTGTTGGGCCGTATTGTGAAGCGCGTGGAGCACAGGCCGACCTGGCTATCCAAGTGACGCCCACCCCCACCATCGATGGCTATTCAAAAGACTATCCCTTTTTCTCTTGTATAATACATGTGACACATCTCTCCCTCTCATCACGAGATAATGTTATTTTATGACTACATTTCATAACCAGTTTTTTAATTTCATTGCTTTTTATGTTTTTATTTTTTCTATAAATATGTTTATAATTTATTCCCAAATGTATTCAACATTTTCTGTTGATTTCCTTTACATTTACGTTACGTTTGTTTTTTCTTTCATGACTTATAATATTCTAGTGAATCGTTAAAATATTTGTTTCTTTTCCTCTTCTCTCCCTCTCATGTATTTATGAATTCATTTTATCGTAAATTTAAAACTTATTTTCTTTCTTAAAGGTATTACTTTGTGAGACAAGTGTCAGACGTAAATCGTTTTGACAAATATATTGCATGTTTATGTCATTATTTCAATATTTATTTTTACTCAAAAAGTTGTACAAAATGTTTTACTTTCATGAATTTTTACGTTAATTTATCCATTATGATTTATTTTACATTTGAATACGTTGTGATGCATAAACATAACTTATTATAAGGTATTTTACTTTGATTTATAATTTTCTATTGTAATTAATAAAAATGACAATTAATAATTGTTTTGTTAATTACATTCATAAATGATGGTATAATTAGGCGTTAAATTAAGACAGTGCTAGACATTAAGACCTTTAATAACATAGACTTTTAGGTACAGCGAAAGTGGTTATCAGCCGATCGACAGCTGATCCAATGTTAGTTCACATCATAATAATAAAAACCAATCATTAATAAAGATATGTATAATTGAAATGATTGATGGATTGAAATATTTTCAATTGAAAGTTAAAATAAATAAAAAATACTTAATTGAAAAACTGGTTAAGAGTTGTGGCCTTAAAAATAGTTCCTTAAAGCGAAATGCATTTTCAAATATTCATAATTAAGATATGTATTCATTTGCGAAGGATTTGACACTTCATAGCATTTTTCGACAAAAATCAATGTTTAATAGAAGAAGAGATAAAACTATTCTTTAGATTACATTACATTATATGATATTTTTGGGAATTAATATTAAATAGTTTTATAATATAGTGATAGATGTCTGGTGTCGGCTCACGGATTCACTTCCTACCTGAACAGGTATATCATTACTGAATATATTATATTTTATTTTATTTATACTTTTTTGTTTCTCTTCTCTAACATAACTTTCATTCATTCACTCGTTTTTTGTATTACAACTAAATAAATACCATAATTCACACAACGATCGTAACCTATCATATCGTTTGCGATGTAAATGTAAATAAAAAATTATATCTTTATGCACTTATTTTTAATGATATTTTTAGCAAAAATTATTAAATATATTAATACAAATTGTATTCCGGCTATCAGTGAATAATATTTTGATCATTTCATGATTCAAATAAGTTTTGCCATTAAATAACGCAAATTATACATTGTTTAAAGAGACAAACCATCGGACGATGTATTTGTGTGTTTTCTGTAGTTTTGTATTAATATTTAATTTTATTCGTATGAAAACCTAATGTATTCACGAAAAAAGTAAGTCATTCTCTCAATTGTATGATTAAATAAAAATATATTATCGTTAGAAATGCAATGAAAATGTCTATAAATGTCTGTATACACCGTTAGGGCACAGGTATAAAGTAGTGGCAAACAAAATGATTTGACAGAATTGTTTTAAAACTTAACAATAATGCGATCAAAGGTTTCCAGTATCTGCTATGACAACCACTTTTGCCGTAATAATATCCCAATACCTTCAATATAATAGCCTCTTATACTGTAAACCTACACAACTTTATTATATTTTTCTGTTAGTTAATACTCGTTATATAATACTGTTAAATCTCAAAATAAATACACATTTCATATATAATATACTTTATTCAATATACAGTACTTTTTATCATAATATGCATACGTTAAGCAAATGATAGCAAAAATTCTGTGCAAATTTTGTCGTATTTCCTCCCAAAAATCTAGACTAAACGTTATCTCCGGGAATCATAAAAATAAATCTCATGCTTTTTTCTCTCTCCCCTCTCCCATACACTTTACAACAGAGCACTCCTCCAATGGTTTTGACAATAATTGTGACGAAGAAAAAGTTTTTTCAATGAATTATACATTTGATTAGAGAAAAGTAATTCTCAATACCAAATGCGTTGAAACAAAAATTTAAGTACAAATTTTCAAAATCAAGAAACGAAAAAAAAAACACACCATTTCTTCCAATGATATGACAGATATGTTTGTCTTTCCAACTCGTCGTTCAATGAATTGATGATTATTTGCTAAGAATTCAATCGCAATACTATTTTCCATATATTATTGCATACATTTAGGGATGAAAGTGATTAAAAGCATTGATATGTTGCAAAAAAGTGAAGAAACATTTGCGCGTAAAAGTGAATATTGATATTAAATGTGAAATATTGTCAAACAAGTGAATACAAGATTAACTAAAAGTGAATAAATAGAAAATATTAAATGAGTTTCGCTTTCATTGACAAATGATATTGAATTTTGGGAAAGAAAGTGAAAAATTATCGGTATATTGAGTGCAAAACAAAACACCTAATAATCAGTGTATTATTCCGACTCAAGCCTATTGTACGAAACGCCTACTTATATTCAGCTCGTGTGACAAAAACACACTGTTTTATACATTTGGGTATAATCTTAACAATCAGTGTAACCATAATATCAAATACAACACAAAAAAAATAAACCTAAAGTAATAATTATTTCAAAATCAAATACTAATAAAACGAGAAAAATATATGAAATTCAATGAACGCTAAACACAGTATGAAATGAGGAGAGAATTGCAATCAAACGATAAGAATATAATAATAATAATGATATGAATAGTTTGGGAGAGAGAAAAAAGGCTATAATAAAGCGCTGAATCACAAACACCTCGTCTCTCTCTCCACTCTGTATATCTCTCGCACACATTCATAGTTAGCAATCATTTAATAATTGAATCAAAAAAAAATTTAACGTCTCATTTAGCGTTTGATTTTAAGTTTAAATGTATTTTTTTAAAATAACATTTTCTCCACTCTTCTAATCATTCACTCCGCAAAACCGTTGCAATTATTATATCGATTCATTTAAACGATATTTTGGTTTTAACCCAAGAAAACCCGGAATCGGTTTTATTATACAACTGTTTGCCAAAAACAACACTAAAAAAGTGTTAAATCTTTTCAACTGATAATCGACGACAAGAAATGTTTGGTAGCGAAGAGTCTATAAACAAACTTCTCGTACGGAATGTGTCGACCGATTGGTCTCAGTTCGCGGGCCTTCCCTTCGCCTTTGACTTCGAGGCCCGATTCGCGCGTGACTTTCACCGCCATGAATTGCAATCAAACGATAAGAATATAATAATAATAATGATATGAATAGTTTGGGAGAGAGAAAAAAGGCTATAATAAAGCGCTGAATCACAAACACCTCGTCTCTCTCTCTCTCTCTCTCTCTCTCTCTCTCTCTACTCTGTATATCTCTCGCACACATTCATAGTTAGCAATCATTTAATAATTGAATCAAAAAAAATTTTAACGTCTCATTTAGCGTTTGATTTTAAGTTTAAATGTATTTTTTAAAAATAACATTTTCTCCTCTCATCTAATCGTGACATTCACTCCGCAAAACCGTTGCAATTATTATATCGATTAATTTAAACGGTATTTTGGTTTTAACCCAAAGTGTCTTCGAAAACTCGGAATCGGTTTTATTTTACAACTGTTTTGTTTTTGCCAAAAACAACACTAAAAAAGTGATACATCTTTTCAACTAATAATCGACGACAAGAAATGTTTGGTAGCGAAGAGTCTTTAAACAAACTTCTCGTACGGAATGTGTCGACCGATTGGTCTCAGTTCGCGGGCCTTCCCTTCGCCTTTGACTTCGAGGCCCGATTCGCGCGTGACTTTCACCGCCAATGGCTGTACCATCACTGGTGGGTCTCGATATACGTGTGCGTCCTATACGTGACTCTAGTACTGGTCGGCCAACACGTGATGTCCCGTCGGCCCAAACCGCTCAGCCTTCGAGTGGCGCTCTTCTGTTGGAACCTATTCCTGGCCTTCTTCTCAATCGTCGGTACCATCAGATGTCTGCCGGAGTTTGTGTCAGTGATCCGCACCTCTGGTCTGGAGTCGTCGTATTGTGTGAGCTCCTACTACGACGACGTGCGGCTCACCTTCTGGTACTGGGTGTTCGTGTGGAGCAAAGTGGTGGAGTTGGGCGACACCGGGTTCATCATCGCCCGCAAACAGACACTCATACCTCTGCACTGGATTCACCACGTGTTGACGCTGTCGTACGCGTTCTTCGTGATCGGTGAGGCGCCGGCCAGCGCCCGATGGATGGTCAACATGAACTTCACCATACATTCACTGATGTACAGCTACTACGCCCTGAAGGCGATCCGAGTGCCCGTTTCGCGTACGATAGCGATGGCCATCACCACCGCTCAGATCCTTCAGATGGTGTTCGGTTTGTACATAAACTTCTTCGCCTTCCACCAGAAGTGGTCGGGCCGTCACTGCGACACATCCATCAGCGCCTCGGCCTCCGGTCTGATCCTCTACGCCCTGTTCTTCGCGCTGTTCATCAACTTCTTCGCCAAGACTTACGGAAATCGTTTTACGCTGAAGTCAATGAAACGACTCCTTTCCGGCGCCGCAAAGGATGTGCTCAATAAAGTCGACTAACGATATGATAGTAATAATAATTAAACAAACAAAACACTGAATGACACTTTGTTTTCATTATTATTATTACATTATAATTATATTATAGTTAAAGTGAATTTATAATCAATTTATTTTTGAACTCATTTTTAGTTTTTATACTTCGCGTTTAAAAATCCATGTTTTTAGTAAATACTAATAATTATTAATCAAATTAACTGATTATTACAAAGTATACAAATATTTCCTAAACAGTTTTTAAATGAATATATTTATAATAATTAACACAATTTTAAACTCATTTTTAGTTTATATATTTATACATCTATGCAGATCAAATATTACTTTAATTTACCTTTTAATTCTCTCTCTCTCTCTCTCTCTCTCTCTCTCAACAATTGTCATCAGACGGTTTGATTGATTAGTTTACTATAAAAGACTTGTGCCTAAAATAGACCAAAACTATCACTTAAAACAATAGTTAAAGACTTGCTATAAATGTCATACAAAATGCAATTTTGTTTAATTAAATTTTAATTCAAACCTTTAATCTATAAACAGTTAATTTAAAATAAATGTACATTATAACATAAATATACTGTATACAATTAAATTTCAAATGGTGATTCTATGAGAAATTACAAAAATAGTGTTAACATTTATAGTAAGGTTGTTTCTAATAGAATTATTAATTAAATATAGCTAGGCCGAATTATATATTTAACATTTTCTATCAAACAAGTGCTAATCAAATAAAACAACTATGTGATGGATGAAGGGATCTAGTTTATTTTTTAAAACTTTTGTTTTAACGTTATTTCCTATATATAGTATTTTTTGTACCAAAAATAAATTGTTAAAAGATTTAGTGCCAAAAAATATTTTAATTTAATATCACGATCGATTTGGTGGGCAAATAGAAAATGGATTTTTATATTAGCGAGAGAGTCGAGAGAGAGAGAGAGAGAGAGAGAGAGAGACCAAGATTTGTATCACTTATTTCTATTAAACAACGGATAGAGCAATAAATTCCCATTAAAAGTGTGATAGATTTTATTTTATGTTTTATTTCTATTTTATTCTATCGCTAAACATTAAGTATATTAGAAAATCCTATTTTTTAGATGAATTTTATCTTGATTAAATAATTGATTGTTTCCTATATTTAACACAATATAGTAGTATAAATGTAATATTATATCAATTTATTAATTTTTTATATATTTTATATAATTTATTTAAATTATAATGTATAATACATTTGGATATTTAATTTTAAATTAAACATGATTATAAATAATTTATATAAATATTAGGTGGATATTATAAATATCACCACTAACAACGTTAAATATCATTACCAACATCTAGCCTAATTATTGTTACGCATTAATGAACAGTCTGATACAATTACCATCTATAAATAGACCAAGATTAATTATTCTGTTTGTCCAATACTAGGTTATTTTATTTTACAATAAATTATTTGGTAATAGATATTATTATTATATGTTCCGCAAATACAGATTAAACAACATTATTTATCTATTTATAATAATAAAGTAAAACATACTTCTGAATTGACAAGTTTTAAATAAAGTACATTGGATTTTAACCATGTATAAATTTTGCTGTCTATTTTGTAACTATCACAACGAGAGAGAGAGAGAGAGAGAGAGAGAGAGAGAGAGAGAGAGACTCTGTTTTCATACATGGTATAGATTAGACAACAACTCAATTTACTCGCCAGTCATCCAATTAATTGCCTGATTAAACAAAAATTGAGCTACACACATATAATGCAATGCATTATTAATACAATATGTTTAATTCGTATACATGGAACATTTACATATAATACAATATCTAATTAACAAGCAACAATATTTTAACAATAATTAATTTAATAGTGCAGTGTATTTTATAAATATGTATTTATTAACTTTTATAATTATCATTTATTTTAGCATGTTTAGTTTTATTTAAAATGGTGATTGGGTTTTGTATTTTTAAAATGACATTCAGACAAATCTTACAAGACAATTCTTGTGAATACAAAAAACAAGTTTAATGTATTTTATTTTTTTATTTACTTATTGAGAAATAGCTCAGAGAGAGAGAGAGAGAGAGAGAGAGAGAGAGAGAGAGACTGATAGCCATAGAGAAAGTCTTAATTATTTTAGAG